TATATATATATATATATTTTTTTTAAGTATACAGTTCCATTCATTTTGACAATGTGTACACACATGTAAACATGACTACAGTCAAGGTATAGAACATTTCCATTACCCCAACACCCCTTATATTAATTTGTAATTAAACCAACTGCCAACTGGGCATCCTTGAAACTACTGATATGCTTTTTGTTAGTTAAGCTTGGACTTGTCTTTTGTATAATTTTATTGAAATCGAATAAACTGTATGTACTTTTTGTATCTGACATTTTTCCCACCTAGCATATAGTTATAAGACATTCATGTTGCTTATCCATGTATATGTAGTCTATTCCTTTTTATTGCTCAATAGAATTCCATATATGAATATCCTATAATTTTTCTTTTTAAATCCATCTACTATTTGGTTATTTGGCTTGTGTTTAGTTTGAGGCTCTTCAAATGAAGTCATTATTGGGTTTTTTGCTTTTTGTGTGTGTTTTTTGTTTGTTTGTTTAGTTACCTGTCTGGACAAAATCTATAGATTCTGGCAGCAGTTTGTAACTGCTGATGGTTCTGCTTTTTTTGTTTTTTAAAATATAGAACTTTTTTCTTTCCTTTTTTCCTTCTTTCTTCCCCTTTCTTTTCCCTCTTTCTCCTTCTCCCTCCTTTCTCTCACTCTCCCCTTTTCTCTTCTTCTTCTCTCTCTCTTTTTCTTCCTTCCTCCCTCCCTTTCCCCCCTTCTCCCTTTCTTTGTTTCTCCTTTTTCTCTCTTTCCTGGTTTTTCAGGAGTCACTCCTAAGTCAACATAGCTTAGTGGTAGCTAATGATTAACCAGAGGTTGTGCCTTTACACCTTAAACTGGTAAGGTTTCCATCTTTTGCTGAGGGAATGTATGTGGATTAACACACACATTAACCATTCAAGCAGTTACAAATCTGCCCTGGCTTCTGCTTTTTCTATGTGCAAAGCATCATGTTTGACCAAGTATAACTACACACTGTGGCCCTCTTTGGTCTCTCCTTAGTGTGTGTGCAGCTTCCAAACCTCTAGGAACAAGTGGGAACTTATCAAAGTCCTCTATGGCTGTCTCATTTTCCAAGTATCTTTGTTAAATTTTGGCTGGTATCTTCTTCAACTCAACCAGTATTGCAGTCTCAGGTAGCTGTAATGTTGACCTCTGATTATTGCCACCAATTGCTATTGTTTTCTACAACCTCCCTGGCCATGAGACCTCTCTATGGAGTTACAAATTGGGTGTACCCTTCTGCAACAGCAAGTTTGCTGGTCCTCAGCCTATAGCATCACCAAGCCAGGGGAGGGATGGGAGAGGCCCCAGGTTAAATTGCCACCATTGTTTTTGCTGAAGTTCAGGTAGTTCTCCTTGAATAAACACTTCTCAATTGCTGTGTGTCTTTGGTCATTTTCCAGAATTCTGAAGTGGTTCATTTTGAAAATTTTGTCCAGCATTATCATTGATGTTTGGGGAAAGAATTTGCTGAGCTCTTTACTCTTCCCTTCTGGATTGCCTGCTCCATGTAGATGTTTTGTAACACTATTAAAAAAACCAACACAAGAGTTTCAGTTCCTAAAAACTGAAAGCAATTTCAACAGTGAACATAACCACTTATCAAGTTGGTGACATACCACAAGTCAGGGACTATTTCAATTGAATTTAAAGCATAACAATTTGCTTATCTCCAGGGGATCTATCCTAGCATCAGAAAACAAATCTTAAATTGTTTACAACAATCATATTGTTGATGGTAGTGTTACTCTAACATTATGTGCATATAGTTTAGTGGGATATAGTGCATAGGGGGATTACGTGAATACATAATTGTGTTGACTCACTGGGAACCAGGATTACTGCGTGGGAGAAGAGAAGTTGATGTGAGACAGATGAGTAAAACTCTGTAGTTCTAAACCTGAATTGAAAGCATAAATATGATTCATCATGATATTTATCCTTAAAATGTTCTGGCCACTTAAAAAGTCCAGAAACCAAGACTAACCTAGGACTCAGATTATGGTTTTTACATAATATTTTTCAACTAAAAAAAGCCAAGAGAACTTTGGAGAAATGGTTAATTTCTAGTTTGGGTCAGGAATTTTCTACAAGAGTTCGGAGCAAACTTGCCACACCAAAAATTAATGGAGAGCTCAAAAATGAATACATATTGAAAGAATTCAGAAGCAGCTGACTTGAAAAGATTCCATGTCACAGATGCTACAATTTGATCCTGAATAAAAACAATGGCTAAGATAGAGTCAAGCATTTTAAATGTGTTAAAATTCATAAGTATGCAATAATGCAAAATGTAACTCATTGGTAACCTAAGAAGCTTTATATAAACAATTCATTCTCTTGAAAAAATGTAAATAAATGGAAATAATGAAGCATTTACTCTGTCTTTGGTTAGCTTAGGGTAATAAGATAGTTATTTAGGATAATATATCTTTTTAGAAATATTCTAACTAATAAAGAAAGTCTGATACCTTTACATAGCCTGTAAATAAATACCTAATTTAGGCCATTCTATTTTCATGGTGTGTTCAGAATACCAGGAAGTTTTTGACATCTTTCAGAGGGTACACAAGTTTAAAACTATTCTTATAACAATGCTAAGTCATTATTTTAGTGTTCATTGTTTCCCAGAGACTATAAGACATGTACTATTGCGTCAGATTCTATTCAAAAGCAGATATAAAAATTTAGCTGTATGCTATTAAATCAGATGTGAAAGAGAGTTGCAAAAATATTTTTAAATGTTTAAAAAGCTACAGAGTCACTATTCTCACTATATTTAGGGGAAAATTAGTAAAAATATTATTTTAATACACATTCAGTTTATTTTTATTTTAACAAATACATATTTTAAAATTGTATTAGTTTTTACTTCTAATATAGATCGATTTACCTATAATCTATCTATTCTACCTAAAATTCTAACACTCACACTTTGCTGGTGGGAATTTAAAATGGTATAGCTGCTATGAAAAACAGTTGGGCAGTTTCTCAAAAAGTCAAAAATTGAGTTAACCATTTGACCCAACAATTCCATCTCTAGGTATATCTCCATAACAATAAAAAAACAAATGTTCTACAAATATTTGTACACAAATGTACATAGCAGCAATATTCACAATAGTGAGTAAGAGGAAACAACCCAAAAGTCCATCAGTGAATGAATGGATAAACAAAATGTGCTATATACATACAATGGAATATTATTCAACCATAAAAAGGATAAAAGAGTGGTACATGATACAAAATGAATGCACCTAAAAACATTATGCTAAGTCAAAGAAACCAGACACAAAGGACACATGTTGCATGATCCCATTTATATGAAAGATCCAGACTAGGTAAATCCAAGAGACAAAAAGAAGATTATTGGTTAAAAGGGGCCTAAGGTGAAGGAGAAATGGGAGAAATGATGCTTAATGGGTATGGAGTATGTTTCTGGAGTGATAAAAATATTTTGGAAGTTGTTAGAGCTGGTGGTTGCACAACATTGTAAGGTATTAAGTGCCATACTTTAAAATAGTTAATTTTATGTTATGTTTCATCTCAATAAAAATGAATAATTATGAGATATTTACTCTATAATATGAAACTCCAGAGTCTAAGGATACGATGTTCCATTAGAAAATAATGGAAGAAGGCCAGCCGAGTGGCACAGTTGGTTAAGAGTTGGCTTGGGAGCACAAGCTCTGAGCAGCAGGGCCGTGAGTTGAGTTCCCACATGGGCCAGTGACATGCATAATGCTGCGCCCTCTACAGCTAAGATGGTGAACAACAGCTCAACCTGGAGCTGGGCTGCCGTGAGTGACCAGCAATGGCGTAGGCTGCAGTGGGCTGCCATGAACTACTGTGAGTGGCCGGCAGCCAGCGAGAGCTGCCCTGAGCTGCCATGAGNCAGTGAAGCAACGTCCTCCACAACTAGACTGAAGAACCAAAGGACAGCAACTTCTCTGTTCCCCTTCCCCCAATTCCCCAGCACTGTTCCCATCCCCTCAATTCCCCAATAAAAAAATCTTTTAAAAAAAAATTCTCCAGAAGATTTATCTAGAAGCTTTATGCA